CAATGAAGAGCAATCAAACTTTTGCTGTGCAGGTCAAGGATTTTTTGTATAATATTCCTCCCTTTGATATAGTCTAATGCTTTTAAGCATGTATCCTCATTTAACAGTCGGCTCTGTCTGACTTGATTAATACCGAATCATCAACACGCAGGTCACTTGCAAACATGCTGCTAAGTGCACTTAAAAAAAAAATAAAAAATTCTGCCAGGACGCCTGCATGTGCTCTCAAAAGAACAGGAGCCATGACTACAGAGCAGATGTGTGCACCGCACTCACGCGCTCCATTTAAAAGCCATCTTTCACTGTGCAACGGGCCGCTCTGCAGACGTTTCACTAATATTTCATAACACGCTCACGCCTCACAGAAGAGTCATACAAGATGACACGCAGCCGGGGAACACGGGGTAGTTTTTTTTAGAGGTGTCGAATGATAAAAACTACCAACATGCACAACGCTCCTCCATACATGCACATGGTATCTGCTAACTGTGAAAACACTGGATTTTACAAAAGAGGAAATAGATCAGAGATAGTATTTATCTGGTGAGGATTGACAGACAGCATTCTGAGGTTCTTCCAGCAAACTCGCTCAATCACAATGCTCTTCAATCGCTCTTTTGGTGTGTGCGGATCCTTCAGCGCCAGAGATGGATCATTTAAAGAAAGTGTTTTTTAATCCACAGCCTATGAATGATGGGATTGTGTGGGTGTACATGTAGGATTGTCTTTTTAAAGACATCAATCATAAAACTTTACAAATTTACACTGCAGTGGCGCACAACGGCTCATTATGCATTTTACTGCTCAACAAACCACCCACCAAACGATCCGCGTAATGAGAAATGTAACTGTGGCTGACAGAAGAGGCATATCACAATCAAAGACATTTAATTTGCCTCAAATAAAGCACAAACTATATGCTCTTATGGCAAAAGCAGGAATTGTAGAGTTTTGGAAAACAATAATTGTGCTCATAAAAACACAGTTCTGCATCTGAAATCTGATTGGATGAATAAAACAGCAAATAAAACTACACATGCAAATCTGCAGCTCCCATTAATTAAATACAAATGTATTTATTTATTTATTAAAATATATCATATAAATGTAAAATCTATATTTAGCAGAGTTGATTGGCAAACATGAAAATTATAGAATATATTAATTCTAATATATTATATTATATTCTAATATATTAGAATATATTATTTGTGGGCACAATTATTATGATTATGGTGATGATTCTTCTTATAAATAATTATTAATTACTGAAACTACTACTACTACTACTACTACTAATAATAATGTATTATTATTATTGCAAGATAAAATAATACATTTTCTTCTAATTCTTGTTATAATAATAATAATAATAATCGTAAAAAAACAGCATCATGCTAGGGTGTTTTAGATGGTTGCCATGACATTACAATGTTGCAGTGATTTGATCATGATTAAAAGGTACAAAACCCCTTAGACGTGGTAAAATCACTGGGCCTCAAGTGGCTTATTGCTTTAATAGCATATTACACAAGAGGCCAGAACTGGTGAGAGATCCACACAGAAGGTCTATAATTGGTCTTATATAATTATAAGAGTTCAATCAGTGCTACAATTCAGGAGATGGAGGCCTTTCAGAAAGCTGCTGTTATAGCAGGAGATGCAGGCACCTTTCCTTTCACAGCTGTGTCAATATTATACATTTTGGACACTCCAGATGTGCTTTCAAACCTTTTTTTATACTATTGCCTCCCTGCAATAAAAGACCATGTTGTGTAGAGACTGTTATAAGGTCAGCAGAGAAGCTTTATTCCATTTTACGCAAACGAAT